GCATTGCACCCCGCACGAGCCACCTACGCACTGTCGCCACTCGCACTGCACTCCCACCGATTCCGCAGCATTGCACGCCGCTCCGCAGCACATTTTTCCGCCGCTTTTCCACCGGTTGCACCGCTGCACCCACGCACTGCACCTGCACCCATGCACTACCCTCTCCGCCCCCCACCCGCACCAGCACCCGCACCAGCTTTTTCACGGCACTCACACCACTCACAGGGCACTTCGCGGCACGATTTCGCTGCATTTCCGCCGCTTTTCACGATTTTTCCACCGGTTCCACTGCACCCGCCACGTGGCACGCACTGCACCCCCGCACGAAACGCACTTTCCACGGCACCCACTGCACGCACGGCACTCACAGACACTCCACGGCACTCCCACAACACTTTCACGGCACTGCACGGCACGCTTTCACCGATTTTTCCACGTTTTTTACGATTTTTGCAGCACCGCCAGCACGTGCGTCGGAGCGTGGGTCCGCCATCTTGGAAAAGGCCGATTCACGCTACCGCATCCCGGATTTCGGTTGGCACCACCTGCCTGCTGCGCACTTCCGGTTCGGGGCATAGGTTGGTAGTCCTTCACTGACGAGTTATACAGTAGGTTGGCACTTCTGCGGGTTCTGACGCACGACCATCTTGGTAACCATTGTTCGATGACTGATTATTCTTCGCAGTACTACATTCCTTTGTATTTTTAGCCTGCCTTTTCTGAAGCGACAGCCATCTCGGTTCGGGTTGCTGCGTCGCTCATAACTATTGCGAATATGCCACTGCTTCCGTCGAACGATTTTTTCGGTTGGCAGTAATGAATTGTTCCCGACGACTGTTTTTTCAGGTTGGCAGTCCATCAGTACCACCGTATCCGTCATGTTGCCACTCCTGCGTTTACTGGCGAACGACCATCTACATCCCATTTGCTCCGTGACTCTGCCGCGTTGGCAGCATTGCATCAGGGCTAATTTACGTTCGGGTTGGCAGTGCTGAAGTATCGTTCACATCTGGTCCACTTATCATGGACTACGTTTCCATCGAGGGTCCAAATCGGGTCAGAGTCGGGTTAGAGTCGGGTTGGGGTCAGCGCTCGTACGGTGGAAACGCCAAAGGTTTAGTTGAACTCTACCCTACAAAATTTTAGGGTAGCGTTCAGTTGAGGTTCGGTGGAAACGACAAGAGTCGAGTTCGTGTTGCCAACATAACAAATCCAAATTGCATTGTGTATCACGTGCTGTATTAATCGGTGTAGAAGAGGTTACTATTACTTTTTGTCGGTGATCTTGTAATCTGAGAAATAATTTTTGTATGTTATTTTGATATTGTAAAATTAATATTGCTCAGCTTTACATGTCAGAATATGGTACTTGACTTTGTGCAGTTGGTAATGTTCAACCCAACTCCAATCCCAACGTAACTCTGATCCCATGGAAACAGGCAAGGCAACTTAACTCTAACCCGACTCTGACCCGATTTGGACCCTCGATGGAAACGTAGTCATTCGGGGATTAGGTTGGCAGACATTCAGCAACTCGTTGTCCATTAAGTTGGTAGTTCTGCGGGTACTGACGCACGGCCATCTTGGTTACCATTGCTCAATGACTGATTATTCTTCGCAAGATTACATTCATTTACACTTTTCGACTCGCTTTTCTACAGCTACTCGACAGCCGTTTCGCTTCGGGTTGCTGCGCCACTCATAACTGTTGCGAATATTTCACTGCTTCGGTCAAGCGACTTTTAGGTTGGCAGTTCTGAATTGTAGTCGAGGATCGATTTTTTCGGTTGGCAGTCCTACACTCGCACGACGTCCGTTAAGTTGGCGCTTCTGCGGTTCCCGACGCGCGACCATCTCTGTTACCGTTGCTCATTGACTACTCATTTTGCGCACTATTGTATTCGTTTCAACTTTTAGTTTTGCATTGACATAACGGCAGCCATCTCACTTCGGGTTGCTGTTTTACTAATAACACTTGACAAATTCCACTGCTTCGGACGAAATACTTTTAGGTTGCCAGGACTGATTTGTTGCCGACGACCGTTTTTTCAAGTTGGTTGTCCTTCTCTACCGTCATAGCCGTCATGTTGGCGGTGTTGCGGATACTGACGGTCTACCATCTACGAAAAATATACTCTCTGACCCTACAGTGTTGGCAGTATTGAATCGCTGCTACACGACTTTCAGGTTGGTACAGCTGAAGTCCCGTTCACATATGGTTGACTTATAATGTTGGCTATCCTTCACTCCCTCTAACGCCATTAGTTTGACAATTTTCATGTCCATCTTGCTTCCTGATGCTCAGTGACTAACTCGCTGACGTTGTCAGTGCTGCTATTTTTCGCACCACCCTTATGTTGGCAATCTTTCACTTACGCGATACCTATAAGGTTGGCACTATTGAATTGCCGCTTTATTGCGCGCAGCCATCTAGGTTGCCGTTATTCTGTGACTCAATGTGGTTGGCAGTACTTAGGTGGCGTTTACTTTCGGTACCGCTATTACGTTGGCAGTCCCTCACTGTCGCGATATGCTTAGAGTTGGCATTACTGCAGTAATACCTGTTGACCATCTGGGTCCCAGGTTCTCTCGAGCTCTCTGAGGTTGGCTGTTCTGAATCCCAGCAGTGAATCCTTCAGGTTGGCAGTGTTCAATATTACCTTTACTCTTTGATGTTGGCACCACCGAAACACCCGTTCACGCCGATGCGTCCGAAGCGCGGACCATGGAGAGTCGCCGAGGATTCGTTCACATTGGTGCTTTTACCCGTTCACATTAGTGCCTTTACCTATTCACATTGAGTCCTCTGTCCCGTTCACATTCATGTCTATACCGATTCACATTTCGTTCGTTTCGTTAAAATACCGCTAAATCGATTTTTTTTCTTCCTTGTTGTCACTTTTTATTGGTTTTCTTTGATTTTCCAAGGCTTTTCGAAATTTTCTTGGCTTCTTCGAGATCTTTTCGAATTTTCTTCGCATTTTTTATTTTAGAAGGTGGCTATTCCGAAACGCGGTAGAGTATTCCGCAGGTTGGCAATTTCAAATTCGTTCGCTCTTCGAGGTTGGCACTACTGCGTTAATGCTTAATGACCATCTTGATTCTAGCTGCTCTATGACTATTTCGTGTTGGCACTATTGCAATCCTTTACATTTTCAAGTTGCCTTTCTTACACCGCGACCCATCTACCTCTAATGTAATCTATGCCTCATTACGGTTGGCTACTGTGTATCGCGGCACAGCCTTCTTTAGATTGGCACTGTTTCTCCGCTGCGAAAGAGCGACTTTCAATTACAGGGCGACCCATCTTGGTCCCCGATGTCCTCGGTTAGGTGCGATTGGCATGGTTGCCAGGTTTTCAATAATTTTTCAACAAACATTTCCAAGTGGTTCCGCGTGTGATACTTTATGTTATGCCTCTAATTTTGATCGTGTTGTCTGTATACAGAAACTGATTTACGTTTATTTCTGTTCAATGCTTTACTGGTTCGATACGGAAGGATGTTGATATTATTATTTCTTAAATAATTGTGTATTACCACAACCAGAGATTATGCACGAAACATATTTACCAGTCTAAGAATTTATAGGTTATGCGTGCGTAGATATTTACCCAAAGCCGTATCCATTTCGTATTGACTTGTTTCGGTTATGCATAATACTGCATTCGATTTCACTCGTGGAAGGGTACACTTCGAATTTTTAAAGGTATGACTCGCATAATTTCGAACGTATCGTTATTAAGAACAAAATTATTGAATTCCGCTTTACTTCCAGAGTACAATGCTACGATACTTCTATACTTCTATATGCGCAACCACTGTGTCGTTCCATTAAATTGTGACAATTTATTAAGGAAATTTAAAGTCTACGAGGAAAGATGGGAGTCGGTAAAAGTCAGTTTACCGAAGACGAATTACAAGATTACCAGGTAATACCACCTAGTTCTGTCCATTTTCTTTACTTATTCACCGCTATGTTCCGTCGCAGGATTTAACCTATTTCACGAAAAGAGAAGTTTTACAGTAAGTATCTTCCGGTCTTTTGTGCGTACGCTGTAAGATATATGTATATACATTTTCTCCTTTAAAATAACAGCGCGCATCAGAAGTTTAAAGCTCTTGCTCCGGAGAAAGTAGGCCACAATAGAAATGCCAAACTTCCGATGTCAAAAATTTTGCAATACCCCGAATTAAAAGCTAATCCTTTCGGCGATCGAATTTGCAAAGTTTTTAGTTCCAGCCAGGACGGAGATTGCACTTTCGAAGACTTTCTGGATATGATGTCAGTTTTTAGCGATGCAGCTCCTAAAGCTGTAAAAGCGGAACACGCTTTCAGAATATTTGGTAAAGTTTTATACTTTCTTCTTTGTATTTTTTCCTTCTTATTCGTTCTAATTATTTGCAGATTTCGACGGCGACGATATGCTTGGTATCGGAGATTTAAGACAGGTAGTAGATCGACTCACTGTTCCTCAAAGATTGAACGAAACAAATATGCAACAGGTTCTTCAGTATATTCTCGACGAAGCGGATTTAGACGACGACGGTGCTTTAAGTTTTGCGGAATTTGAACATATTATTGAAAAAAGCAGCGATTTCTGCAAGTAACTATCCAAACCGTTGTGATCGACTTCTTAAGTTGTTTCGTGATATTTAAACGAAATAATGCCACTCGTATTCTTATTCGTTCTAGGAGTTTTTCTATACGTTTATAAAATAACGGAAATTTAATACTTTTCTACGAACGAATAATTATATGGAAAATGAATGTAGTAATTCTACAGAGTAAGAAAATGTTGCTTATCCCATATTTCCGTTTACAAGTTGAGATCAATTTTGTCATCGCTTTCTTTTTTACAGACTTTATAGGGTCAAGGATGTAGAATGGCGCTATGGAACCTACAAACGACAATTTCTTTTCCATCCTGCGCGTAATGCTGATTTAGAAATAGTCCACGTAATTAAAGGCCTAATCGTTTTTATCTGTTATGTGGTTAATAAGGAACATACGAAAATTGTATTTATTATTCGATCGTAATAAATGGTCAATCTCGAACAACAAGGAAACAACAAATTGTTGTCGTTCTAGTTCCTTTCTTGGAGATGCGATTATATTTTTCATTTAGTTGTACAGTTGCTTCTCTTTCGACGTACATCGTAAAAAATATATTTATTTATTTTTCGTGTTTCGTTAAAATTCTAAAGTGTTGGTCGGAAGACGGAAAGGAAAAAAAAAAATCGTATAATAAACATTTTCTAAAAAATTCCATTGTCCTTCGCGTATAGTGTAATTACGTTATACTATTGCAAGACTGGTAATATACGCAAACTGTACCAAATTTCGATATAACCTATTCGATGCCGCGTTCGGTGAAACATTTCGGATTCGACCAATTGGACTCGAACCAACAGAGATCGTGGAACTCACGATGGCTGACGACATCAGAGAAAGAGAATCGGAAAAGGTGAAACCACAGGAAACGCTTGTGCGAAAACTGAAAACCGTCAAAACCGATGATGTCAAGGTAACGTCGATTTATTTTTTATGCTTTCAAGATACCAGATTCATATTTTCTTTTCTTTTTTTTTCGTGATAAATTCTTTTGTCGCTTTCCGCGTAAAGACGTTACCTTCTGGCAACACCGACTTTCATTGTCATGTGCTCTTCTGCTTTTGGTGCATTTAAAGTTTTTCGTGGACAAAATTTTTTATTCCCAAAGTCTTTTTATTTATTTTTCCGTATTTTCATTTACATTATATTCGTTTATTTCAAAAGACCGAAAGATCGTTCTATTTATCCTAACCTTTTCTAAAGGCAACACCATTGCATCGTATTCCGTTCTTCAGGATTTAACGAATTCTTCGGATATAACGACAGAGTTAAAAAATATAAACAACGATCTTGCCGATGTAAGTTACGTGTGTGGCTGGGTACCTACTACGAAAGATGCGATTTTGTTCGATCTGTGTGTCGCGTATAACGACGATTTTTCAAAGTGGCCACATTTGAAAAGGTGGTTCACAAATATTCAAAGCTTCAGTATAACTGAGCGTGTAGCGTTTCCTGACCCGGAAGAGCCTATCGCTTCTTCGCGAAACCTTCGCCTTTCAGATCGAAATTGGATCGACCGAAAGGTGAGAGAAGCAGTTAGAAGCTTGCAAGCAGAGTCGCTATAAATTATAAAATTCGTGAATTGGACGTCGATGTCGATTACTCTTCCGAATAGCATGCTTGTCGTTAAAACTATGTAAGAACAATATAATTCATAGCACTTGCTTGCCAGCTAACTTACATGGTACTATTTGTTCTTTCGACTAGTTTTGATTGAGGTGGACTTATGTCTTTGATTCTGGTTCTTTTAAACGACTGTGTTGCTCACGATGTTGCGCACCGTGCGGATCAATGCCATCTTTCCTGCGCGAAAACATTATTGTACCACGATACTTTCGAGACTAAAGGTATGCATGTTATGCAGACACATTTTTTCATGTGCAACGAAAGATGTGAATCTACGTACAAATTACTTTTAGCATCGATCTTAAATCGAGTGTTTCCATTCATTGCTGTTTCCTTTTGTACTAGATAGCAGAGGAAATTCCCAAATTATCAGAGGAGAAAGCTCGTTCGGAGGAAGGAAAGAATGTTGCATCCTCGAAGGTTATTCTCAAAACACCGAAAGGTACCAGGGATTATGGTCCCGAGCAAATGGCATTGCGGCTCGGAGTATTGGATAAAATAATAACGGTGTTTAAGAAACACGGTGCAGAGACCATAGATACGCCTGTCTTCGAACTAAAGGTATATTCCAATTACGCGAAACGTAACGTATAATCTACATAATAAACGGATGGATTCTTATTTAGGAAATTTTAACGGGAAAATATGGAGAAGATTCGAAACTAATTTACGACTTGAAAGATCAAGGTGGAGAAATATTGGCTCTTAGATACGATTTGACCGTACCTTTTGCTCGATATTTAGCTATGGGGAAAATTTCTACCATTAAGAGATATCATATAGCAAAGGTTTATCGACGGGACAATCCTGCCACGACAAAGGGTAGATACAGAGAATTTTATCAATGCGTAAGTATTGATCGCTTCGTTTATAATTTCTTAACAAAATTATCGGTCGATTTAACAAGTATTATTATCGAGGACAATATCGGTCATTTTACATTTTTTTTCTTTTTTTTCTCGTACCGAATGAAGGATTTCGACATAGCCGGGCAATACGATCCGATGATACCGGACGCCGAATGCATACGTATCGTATCCGAAGCGTTACAATTGTTGGATGTAGGTCCTTACGCGATCAAATTGAACCATAGATCGTTACTGGACGGTATATTCGCTGCTTGTGGTGTTTCGCAAGAAAAGTTCCGTACCGTTTGTTCGTCGATCGATAAGCTCGACAAAAGTCCCTGGTCAGAAGTAAGGAACGAACTCGTGGAAGAAAAGGGATTGGACGAATCGATTGCCGAAAGAATTGGAACGTACGTGTCGCGGTCCGGTGGAGTGGAACTTATCGATGAACTAAGAAACGATGCCGATCTGATGAAACAGGCATCCGTGGTGAAAGGCTTAGAGTGCATGGAACTATTATTCAAGTATTGCGATATTTTCCAAGTACAAGACAAAGTGGTTTTTGATCTTAGTCTCGCTAGAGGACTCGATTATTATACAGGAGTGATTTTTGAAGCGATATTAACTGGTAAGTTTTCGATATTGATTGTCTATAGTATAATTTTTCGGTAATTTAAAGTAAAAAATAACGTTGTGTGATCTTCAGGCGATGACGTTGGCGTTGGCAGTGTGGCTGGCGGTGGACGGTACGACAATTTGGTGGGAATGTTCGACAGCAAGAAGAAGTCGGTTCCGTGTGTTGGTTTGTCGTTAGGTGTCGAACGGATTTTTAGCGTATTGGAAGCGAAGTTAAACCGCGAAGGTTCAAAGATACGTACCACGGAAGTCCAAGTATTTGTTGCGAGTGCGCAAAAGAATCTACACGAAGAAAGAATGAGAATTTTATCGACCCTTTGGGATGCCGGATTGAAAGTTGAGCATTCCTATAAGAAGAATGCAAAGTTACTGGCTCAGTTGCATCATTGCGAGGAGAATAACATACCGTTAGTCGTAATAATCGGTGAAGGAGAATTGGCAAGAGGGGAAGTTACGTTGAGAGACGTTGCCTCTCGGGCGGAGGTTTCGATTCCCCGAACAAATTTAATCGAAGAGATACGGAAAAGGCTAGAAAAACGATAATTTTTACATGCATAGCTGATTATTCGATGCAAATAAAAATCGTACCAAACAGAGTGGTGGAATTGTTCTTGATTCCATGAATCGCGTTCTCCGTAAACACCACTCTTTGATACAGCGAAGAAAAAGATAGTCTGTGCTCTTGTATAATCTAAATTATTTTTTAATTTATTGCATAGAATAGTTACGAATAAAAGTCTATCGTAATCGCGTCGTTAACAATTATTATTCGTTTATTAAATAATACCTTGTGTCTTCCGCGCTGCGGTTTCGATTTCATTTTCCTTTTTGCGATAATCAAGAAAGGGTTACATCACGAGGAGGTCCATTTTATTCGGAACGGTAAGAGAAACTCCGCACGAAATATCTGATTCGTGTTTTTTTTTTTTTTTTTTTT